AGATTGCACGCTTCAATTTTGTTATAAGGAAATGATAATCATGACGCACTGTGAATGACCTAATCTAATAAAACAGTATAATGGAAAATTATTGACTTAAAGTCACTGATTATAAGTACATATTTAAATGTAAAATTATTTTAAATATGAAATTTATTACAACATATTAAAGTGATATAAAATGTTTAAATTAAATATGCAATTAATTATGAAATATTATAAAATGTAATTATGTAAGGCTTCAATTACGCCAAGAAGGCAAATAAATAAGTAATTATACAAAAAATAGAAGGAGAATTTTGATGCTTCTATTTGAAAGGTTTATCTGTTACTATTAAAAATCAATTTCTCTATGGAGAAAATGAATGGGATTTTACTTCCAGAACACGACTGCTGCACTCTGGTATCGACTACATGACTTTTAGGTGCATATATTATAGATATCGACACGAGTGGCTAATAAAACATGTTTGCTGAGCCCAATCAGTCTTTGAGTAAACATCTTAAACCTTTAATCAAACACGGCTGCTTTACCTTTAAATATCAGCTGGCTCCGCAGATTCCACCTTCGACAGCGAGATCAATTTGTGCACTTCCAGGTCTCTCACCGCGTGAGATTGCTAATTTTATAAGCGCTACTTTTCTCTCAGCCCTTCCAGCTATTAATAATTCGGATCGATCAGATGGAGTCATGGCCGGTGATTGAAGGAGTGCTGGGATGTTGGCGGTCCTGCGTTTTCTAAAGCTTAGCATGAGTCTGCAGAGGACGCATTACTCACCGCGAGCGCATCTCATCTGTGCATCCTCTCCTACATCATTAGCTCTCAACAATAACCCTGTTCGCAGAGTAACAACCTCAGAGACGCTGGGAGTAATCTAGTAATATTTATATCCCTCACCTGATCGTGCACACTTTCAATACAAATTTATCATGGCTGTACGCAAAAGGGGAAAGAAATTGATTTCATTTTTTTCCACGAGAGCTTCACAGGACATAAATATCACCCTACGGACTTCCTCGTGCTACTATGCAAATTCATCAACACTTCGAGTTTGCACAAATAGAACAGATGGCAATTTAAAGACTGCAATGGTGAGGGTTTAACTAGTACTACAGCGCATACTTATGGTTAGAGATCTGAACAAAGCACTAACCATAATTATTAAACTGAATGACAGTACTGCAACTTAAACTTTATTTATTTCAGGTAGCTTGCCAAGGCAGCATGTATATTTTTTATAATTATATTTTTTAAGAACAATTAATAATTTTATTTATAATGTTGAGTGTTTTTAAGTTTAGGTTTTTCACCTAATAATATGACAGTGAATGACTGTTGTTGTTGTTGTAAAAGAATAAAATAAAAGGTAAAAATAATAATATTAGGTGAAAAACCTAAACTTAAAAACACTCAGCCTTATAAATAAAATTATTAATTGTTCTTTAAAAAATTATAATTACAAAAAATAATTGTAATGCTGCCTTGGCAATCTACCTGAAATAAATAAAGTTGAAGTTGAAGCAGTAAAATTATCAAACCTGAAATAAAAATAAATTAAAACTACATAGAAATACTGTATTTTTAAAAATAATAATAAAACTAAAATTAAAATAAAGCTTAAGTTGAAGTATTAAAATTACCAAACTTGAAATTGTAAATTTTAAAATTATAAATTGTTTATAAAAAAATATAATTATAAACAAATACAAATGTTGCCTTGACAAATAACTGAAATAAGTAAGTTGAAGTTGAAGTAGTAAAATGATCAAACCTGAAATAAAAATAAATTAAAAATATAAATATTTAAAAAATAATAAAAATGAACATAAAAATACCGGGGGGAAAAACTAAAAATTAAGCTATTTAGAAGTATTTAAAACTGATAAAATAACAAAAGCACATAAAATTACTAAAGCTAAAGCAAAAAATGAAAATAGAAAAATAAAAGCTAATTCAAAATATTAATAAATATTACAATAATAAAATAATACTAAAAGAACATTGCTGACTGATGATAAAATGGGTAAAATAATGAAATAATGTTAATATTAGATTCATTAGATTTTTAGTATTTTTAATTGATTATTGACTGACCCATGTTTCAAGATCAATGCATATTGCACCAGAGGGATTTGTAATCGATGCATTGAGGAAATTAGTGAATCCTTAACCCCTAGTTATGATGCAATTGATGATAATAATTGTCGAACCATAATACTACTTTGGTAGTCAATACTAAAATAAAAAAATATATGCAAGGTAAATTCAACTATTATAAAATGGGCTAAATAATCCATGAATATTGTGGAGAGTCATGCACTCACATTTTCCTCAAAAAATGTAGAAATCTAGTACAAAACACCTGATTTCACTCCTGAAGTGTGCACTATCTAGTGCACTCCACTGTAATTCTGATATTAACAGTCCTGTGGCAAACATTTTTCTTTTGCGAGTTCATGTATTTATTTGGGATCAGATTGATGGAGCCGCTGGCGGAGGGAGGGAACGTGAGATTGAAGCAATAAAAGTCAGAGTGAGAGATTCGACGGGCTTTGAAACACTTGGTTTCAACGGCTCCAATTTATCCAGCGTACGTCTCGCACACCGATGCTTTAGTGCCACCGCAGAGCCTGCTGCAGGAGGAAGGGTGCGTTCTAGATGACTGAGTCATCGAGCCGCTGAACTGGAAATAAAACCATAAATATTCATTCACGCTGTTGTTTTTAATAACTAGACAAATGCAATGCGCAAAAGCAATCACGACTGTATATTTCAAGCTAATAACATTATGTATTGGCCTTAATTTATTTTCTTGGGGAGGCTTTGAATTTTAATTTCTGTCAGCTTTGTGTTTAATTAAAAGAATAGTTCACCTAGAAATGTGAAAAATGTCATTATTTATTCAGCAAAACTATTTAAATTTGTTCAGTGGCGCTCTATGGAATATATTTTTAGTATCGAGCAAAAAGGCATGTATACGACATTACATGATTTGGTTGGATGTTAGAAGTTGGATGTTACGGAAGCTGGATGTTACGTAAAAAGGGCGACAGCGCACTGCATTACAAGAACATTCGTGTTTTCATAACCGCTGGCCAAAATCAAAAACGAAACTGAAATGAAATCATCTTTGAGAGGAAGGAACTCAACATGCATACTTTGCGTAAAGGGAGGATCGGCTCTGCCAACAGTAGCTAAAAAACACAAGCCTGACCTGGGGTGCGTTTCCCAAAAGCAACTATGGTCGCAAGTTCCGTCGTTACCAATAGAGTTCAATGGAACGAACCACCATAGTTAGCTAACGATGCTTTTGGGAAACGCACCCCAGGTTAGAAGACCAGCAAACCAGGTCATCATTGATCGTAATAATAATAATAATAATAATTCATTACATTTATATAGCGCTTTTCTAGGCACTCAAAGCGCTTTACATTGTCAGGGGGTATCTCCTCATCCACCATCAGTGTGCAGCATCCACCTGGATCATGCGACGGCAGCTATAGTGCGCCAGAACGCCCACCACACACCAGCTTACTGGTGGAGAGGAGACAGAGTGATGAAGCCAATCAGCAGATATGGGGATGATTAGGAGGCCATGATGGTCAGAGGCCAATGGGCAAATTTGGCCAGGATGCCGAGGTCACACCTCTACTCTTTTCGAAAGACATCCTGGGATTTTTAATGACCACAGAGAGTCAGGACCTCGGTTTAACGTCTCATCCGAAGGACGGTGCTTGTTGACAGTATAGTGTCCCCGTCACTATACTGGGGCGTTAGGACCCACACAGACCACAGGGTGAGCACCCCCTGCTGGCCTCACTAACACCTCTTCCAGCAGCAACCTAGTTTTCCCAGGAGGTCTCCCATCCAGGTACTGACCAGGCTCAGCCCTGCTTAGCTTCAGTGGGTAACCAGTCTTGGGCTACAGGGTGATATGGCTGCCGCAATGGGATGCATCGTGTTTGAATGTTTCAAACTGAAATTTACAGCAAATGATCAGTTCAAAATTTGTTCATCCAATAACTTTCATTAGACTTGTTTGTTGTTTGTTGTTCATTAGATACAGCACACAAGCTGTACTAACTACTTTTATAGTCCTTTTTGGAGTTCAACAATATGAATCCGTCTAAGTTGGTTTGCTGATGATCTTAGCTGGATTAAACTAGTCTCTTAGCTTGGGCATCTGGTTTATTTGGTCCAAAAGTGCCTGAAAAGTGCCCAAATTAACTAAAAGACCAACTTTTTTGGAGCACTACAGTGTAAATTACTGTCCATTTTCAATATTTGGCAAAAGAGCAGCTGGAACATTCAACTAAACCAATGCTGTTATTGTTATTTCCTGCAAAAATGGCCATCTTAAACCAGTTTAAGCTGGTTGGCTGATGATTTTAGCTGGTTTAGGTTGGTCTCTCAGCTTGGGCAGCTGGTTTAGTTCATCCAATAGTAGCTAAAAGCCAGCTAACAGACCAGTCTGACCAGGCTAGAAGATCATCATTGATCGTGATGATATTTGAACGCTTAAAATTTCAATCTGCAGTGAATAATCAGTTAAATATTGATTTGTTCCTTCAACAAGGCTTTAATTTGCACACACGTTGTACTAACAGGTTTGCTGATGATCTTTGCTGGTTTAAGCTAGTCTCTCAGCTTGGGCAGCTGGTTTAGTTGGTTCAAAAGTGGCTGAAAAGTGCCCAAAACCAGCTAAAAGACTGACTTTTTTTGGAGCTCAACAGTGTAAATTACTGTCCATTTTCAATATATGGCAAAAGAACAGCTTGAACCAATGTTGTTATTGTTATTTTCAGCTAAAAAGGCCATCTTAAACTTTTGGTTTTCTGATGATCTTAACTGGTTTGGGCTGGTCTCTCAGCTTGGGCAGCTGGTTTAGTTGGTCCAGTGGTAGCTAAAAACCAGACCAGGCTAGAAGACCAGCAAACCAGCTTGGTCTGGTTTTCTTCCAGCAGAAATCGTTTGTGAAGAATGTAACCCAACCCTCACCCAGGTTCGATGAAGCCCTGCCCTCGGCGGCGCGGTCCTTCAGGCCTTCTGCGATGCTGAGCTGTTGTTCGTGATACTGCTTCGCTCTCTCCAGATCCTGCATGCATCGGGCGGCGTGTCCCAGCCCCGCGTACGCCCTCATTTCGATGCTCTTCTCCTCGAGCTCCTGTGCGAGCTCCAGCACGTGCGTGTGGTAGGACATGGCCTTGTCGAAGTTGCGGTGGTAGTGGTAAGCGCTTCCCAGGTTGCTGTAGGCACGCGCCTCCTCGCGCTTGTTGCCGAGGCTCTTGGCGATGCTCAGGTGCTGTTCGTGGCACTGCACGGCATTATCGAAGTCACCCATGGCGATGTAGACGGCTCCCATGTTACCCAGCTCCCGAGCCTCGGAGAGCTGATCCTTGGACTGTTTGGCCAGCAGGACGCACTGCTTGTGGCTGGCCAGGGCGTTGGGATAGTCGCCGATGGCCGTGTACACGTGACCCAAGCTGCTGAGGGCTGAAGACGCCGCCTATGGAGAGGAATGAGAGAAGATGTATAAACCATTTAATATAAATGTTATAAAAGAGAAAATGGCAATGCTAAAATCTGATTGTTTGCTGTTGTGCACAAAAAAATGGTTCCTCAAAACACGGCCAGGTTTGAAGAAAATTATTTCAAAATTGACTGATGGTGACGGGATACATCATGTTTAAATGTGTAAATTTGAAATTTGCTGCATAGAATTGCTTACATTTTGATTTGTTCCTCCCATAAGACTTTCATTTGACAAGATGAAAATACTTTTTGAGGCTCAGCTGTGTCCATTCCCTTTCAGTTGGTCATTTCAATGTTGTGTCGAAGTTCCGACACTAGGGGTCACACTTGGGAGCCCAGACACCTCTGACATAATTGAGAAAAGGCCAATGAAATTGGCAAGCAAAATTTGCATAGCTGGCCACACCCCAGACATCTGGTTAAGCTACTTGAAAAACTTAGCATTTGCTCAGAAAGAGACACTACGGAGGTCACATCCTACCTGAATGGGAGGTAACATGTGAAGACCAACCTATGGACTTACCGAAGTAAGTACCACATAGGGAAGATTCTGTGGTGGGCTCCGCATAAGGGGAGAACTACCAAACACAGAACCCAGTGACAGATTGAGTGTCTGTCTAAGGGAGACACTGAACCCTAAGGAACTAGGCAGTGGAAAAATACACATATGGGGCCACCAGAGGGAGCCACTACATATGGGGCACTAACCCAATACGAGAATTCACTCGAGGAACACTTCCCAGTAATGGATTCTTGTAGCAAGTTCCTCCGCTGAACTCAGTGTCGTAAGAGTGCGTGAGTGATGGAAGGGTGGTCCAGGATTCATAAGAAGGAACTTAACTGGACTCAATAAGTGCATATAATCAACTCAGAGAGGGGAAGGAGCTAAGTGCAAGTTCTACACCCTACCAGCCACCAGAGTTCAAGAGCTGGTGCTCAAAACTCTGGATGAAACCGGTTACATTTGCAGATTGTAGAACCTGGCAAATGTATTAGGTGTATCCTAACCTGCAGCTCTACAAATGTCCATTAGCTAGGCACCATTTTCTAAAGCTGAAGAAGCAGCAATGCCCCTGGTTGAGTGCGCCCTCACTCCCTGTGGGCATGGTAAGCCTCTGGCCTGATAGGCCATAAGGATTGCATCCCGCGCTTGTTGCCGAGGCTCTTGGCGATGCTCAGGTGCTGTTCGTGGCACTGCACGGCATTATCGAAGTCACCCATGGCAATGTAGACGGCTCCCATGTTACCCAGCTCCCGAGCCTCGGAGAGCTGATCCTTGGACTGTTTGGCCAGCAGGACGCACTGCTTGTGGCTGGCCAGGGCGTTGGGATAGTCGCCGATGGCCGTGTACACGTGACCCAAGCTGCTGAGGGCTGAAGACGCCGCCTGTGGAGAAGAATGAGAGAAGATGCATAAACCACTGAATATAAGGCACTATAAAAAAGAAAATGGCAATGCTAAAATCTGATTGGATGAGCCATGTTTGCTGTTGTGCACCAAAAACAATTCCTCAAAACACTTCGTGACAGGTTTGAAGAAAATGATTTCAAAATCAACTGATCGTAATGGGATGCACTATGTTTGAATTTTAAAATTTGAATTTTGCTGCATTTAACAACTTTAACAAGCAGGTAAACCAGAGTTGTTATTGTTAACTAAAACTATTAAAAATTGATTTTGGAAATTGAAAATAAAGCCAAAATAAAATAAAATCAAATATAAATATCAGATGGAAATATGTGAAGAAAAAAAACATAATGAAAATCTGAAATGTTGCTTGGCAAAACAAAACTGAAATAAAATAAGTTGCAGTACTAAAAAAATTACTAAAACTAAAAAAAATAAATATAAATAAAGCTATAAATGAAAAAAAAAACTAAAACTAATACAAAAAGACAAAAGCACATAAAAATACTGAAACTTGAATAAAAAACTGGAAATATAAAAAATGATTAAAACTATAAAGAAATATTAAACAAAAAAATAAAACTAATAAACAAAAGACAAAAGCACACAACAAGAAACTGAAAGAAAAATAAATTCACATACAGAAGCACATACAATTACTAAATTAAAATGTAAAACTGAAAACTTAAAATATAAAAATTAAATCTATATAGAAATATTAATAAATTAATAAAAATTGTTTAAACAAAGACAAAATTAGTAAACCTTCAAAAAAAAAAGAAAAATGAAAATATAAAAATGAAAGCTAATAAAAAATAAATAAATAAATAAAACAGCACAAAAATAATACGCAAATAACACTGAACTAAACATATCCTTTTTGTGATGTGTGCATAAAATAAGGTTATTTGGGTTATGAGGGAGAGAAAATGATTTCAAATCAGTTTCATTTTTCCTTTAACTCTGGTATAATTACTAATACACATGACCTCTTGTTGCTTGCTGCTTTATTTTCTATTAAACAGCAATTAGATAAGCAAACACAGCTCTTATCCTCAAAACATTTGGCAAAGTTGTGTGATGTTACTGCATCCCATTACGCAGCCATTGAGAATAGCATGCGGTGCAGAAAGCGCTCTGCCATGTAACGTGTTGTCTGCCGAGAACAAAACCCGTGAAGCCTCTCAAGTCGAAATCTTAGCAGAGACGCTGATCTCTCGCAAAATCCGTTAAAAATATGCTGAGGCCTTGTCGAAATCTCCTTGCGGCAGGCACATGTTCAGCTGAGAGTTGAGAGACAAAGGCTGTCTCCCAGAATTACATGCTCAATGGGAAGCCCATTAGCCACAAACAACTTTCTTCAGTGGAATCAAAGTCGTCTAAAAGCAGCGCACTCATCCTGGTGACATACGCAAATCATGCAAGTATTCACACCCCCCGTTCACACCAAGGACGATGACGTTAGTCTAGTCTAGCACAAGTTATGCAAAAACTCCCTTTAGAATTAATGAAGCTGCAAAACAAATCTCTTAGGGTGCTTTCACATTCGGTTCAATTGCCTGGTCCGAACCCGAGTTCGATTGCTCCCCCCTCCCCCTGCCCCCGCTGGACTGTGTTCATATTATTTTATTTGGGTCCGAACCACGGTTCGTTTGCGTCATCAAGCCAGCAGCTGTTTACCCTGTTGCTTAGTAACGACAGCGCAGGAGAAGGCGGCAAAATATACACTTTTATATATTTGTTTTTGAACTGTTGGTTTTGTTTCCAAAGCTTCAGCACATAACAGCACTTACGTCAGTCTAACGAATGTACTGCAAATGCTCTAAAGAACGCTGAAGGCGAACAGAAATGAGACATACAGCGCTCTGCTTGCAGCAAGTCAATCATGCTCAGCAGGAAAGTGAGTAAAACACACACACACAAACACACATTTTTATCAAATAATATGTCATTAATAGCGGTTCACTTCCACAATTTAGTACAATTGCATTCACATCAGCAGCAAACCGCACCGGAGTTCACATGAACCATACCCCAGACAACCCTTTTTAAGCTGACTTAGGTATGGTTCGCGGGCGCGTACCAAGCGGCAACCTTCTGGTCAAACCAACACGGAAGTGACTAAAACTGCAATTCATCGACTGGCCGCTAGAGGCTGGCTCCAAAAGGGAGTCAGTCCCATAGACTCCCCATGTTAAAATGCCCAACTTTACAGCAGAATCCTCTTTGCCCATTTTCGATTATACAGGAGTGACGAGCGGTGACGCGCTGCCAAGATGGCGACGGCCGGCTCCGCCCACTTTGAGCTTCAAAAACGCTCTTCAGAATCCTACGGGTGATGTCACAGACACTACGTCCAGGTTTTTATACAGTCTATGGTGCGCACCCACAGTGTTCATATCATCCAAACAAACCGAACTTGCACCAAAAGTGCTAGTGTGAAAGCACCCTTATTTATATTGTTTCTGCATTTTGTTGTTTATGATGAGAGAATTCGCAAGCGCATGCAATCAACAGAACGCGAGCGTTTCAGCGCTGACTAATCTGATTGGCCACTGCATTCATGAGCTACACAGAAAACCGTCTAATTGGCAGTAAAGCTCAACGCTGCAAAAAACAACATGCAAAAAGCAACTTAAACGCAGATCTAAATGTAATTCCGCAAATTGACACTTTTCATTCATTTCCACGTTTCATTTTAATCGTGGCAGCTGTAACAGATTTAATCAAATCATGCAAGAGCAATTTTTGCCCCTTTATCTTGAATTTGTGAGGCCTTTTTGTTCATTTTGGTGGCATTTTTACCATAAGCCCCCATTAATTTCCGACCCTGATGTGCAATGATGAATCGATCTAAGCAAGACCAGGAACATGTACCAGGAACTCTAACCTTGTTGAAACTACAGGGATGAGAGGGAGTGCTTATCTTTCACACCTGCTGTATGTCAGTGAGGAAGCCTTGCACAGAACGCTTTCACCTGCTGAGATTAAGTCACACACACACACACACACAAGCACACACACACACACACACACAAACGGCCCTTTCTCAATCTGCTCAGACACTAGCTCTTTTCTATTTTATTTGAATTTTTTTTTTGTATGTATGTCTTTACTGACACTTTTGATCAATTTAATGCATCCTTACTGAATAAAAGTATTAATTTCTTTTAAAATCTTCCTGATTCAAACTTTGGAGTGGTGGTTTAAAGCTACATCTCTCGTTTGACTCATTATTTGATTGCACTGCCAAAAAAGACAAAAAACGCAGAATAAACTTTTAAACGAAGTTGTGAGAAAGATTTAGATTTACGGTTACATACTACTGAAATCATTATTACTGCATACTCATTAAAAAAAGTATACAGTACATACTGCACAGTATCCAATAGTAAGCTAGTATTTATTTCTGAATATTGTCACCCTGGAGGAGAAATCTTGATTATAAGTATAAATCATTTAAAATGTTTATATACAATATACGTAAAAATAAATTAAAAAAATTTCCAATTTCAAAAAGTATAGACAAAACAATTCACTCTAATTAAAAACGGACCACTATTTGCATGTTCTGTGCAGTTTCAAGATGATTAGATTACCGTTCCATTAGCCAAGCACCATAATAACATCAAACTCTGTCCATTTCAGTTAGCATGCGGCCTATATAGACAGCAGACAGCAGTGCAGCTCACTAGATTCTGGAACAGAACTTACATTACACAAGTGCTTGACAAACAACAAAAGACAGCGGGTCCAACTTCGGCCTTGACGCTACATCAATCAAACTATAAACATTGATTAAAACACAACCACATGTTCGCCACAGATATGGGCTCTATTTAGGGAGTAATGGTGATGGCCGCTCTCTCTATGAGGTGCTGGGACGGATGCGCAAGCGCTTGACAAAGACAGCGGGTCCAACTTCGGCCTTGACGCTACATCAATCAAACTATAAACATTGATTAAAACACAACCACATGTTCGCCACAGATATGGGCTCTATTTAGGGAGTAATGGTGATGGCCGCTCTCTCTATGAGGTGCTGGGACGGATGCCCTGATAGAACAGAAGGTAAAACGCTTGATTTCGGGGGAAAACAGACAAGAGACGAACCTGGAGGGGCTCGTCCAGCCCAAGGCCTTCGGTTTCCCAGCGCCGCCTGGAACCAATTACCTCCAGCCATAAAAACTTCCAGCAGTTTAACTGAGTTTAAAGGCTCTGGGACATGTTACACGGTGAGGCAATTACCCTTCATCCGAAGAGAGGGCTTCTTATGATCACAGATACACTATCGGGCCCGGCGTGGGCACGTGTGTCCTGTTTGAAGCCGTGGAGCTTCATTTCGGGTCAGTCCTGGATCTAAAGATGATGGGATTGTGGAGGAAACTCCTTTTTCGGGAATCAGTTAAACATAGTGATTCACATTAAAATTGAAGTTTTGCATCTTATAGTCAGTGTCAACAGCTCTGAGATCATCTGTGTATGCTAGTGTGCTTCTAAAAGTTGATAATAAAAATCTACTTTTAGCAATGATGCACACTTCAAATTTCAAATCCTTTGCCTTACAGGAAAACAGACCAAAAATTTGAGCCAAAATTAATTTTCAGGATATTTTCAATGTTTTCCTCCATGTTACAAGATGCAAAGTGAGGCTGCACCGTGCTGTAATGTAAAATAAAGAACACTGGCTATATAATACAAGTAAATATATCATCACAAGAACAGAGAACTGGGTTGTCTTGGGGACCAGAATAACCGGAAAAATCTACAATGACCTGGAAAACTGGGAATCTTCACAGAAATTGGATTGGTTCTCTAAAAAAGGTTGCAATTTAAAATAAAAAAAGGCATTTACAGCTAAATGCCATTGAAGAACCTTATTAAAATTTCTAATTTCTTAGAAAACCCATCCCTGTTCTTGCATTTTAAACAACCCAGGAACCAAAACACTGATTTAAAGAACCACAACTACTTTTTTT